AGATCCCACACCAACTTTCCCTCACTCTATCTAAACAACCACCCCATCACCTTCTATCCCTTTGTTAAAAATTTAGGCTTTCTCATAGATCAAACCCTTTCCTGGAATCACCATATCTCTCATATATCCCGCCGTGCAATTTCTACCCTCAAACTATTCCATCACTTCCGCCATCTTCTACCCCAAAATACCCGTAGACTCCTAGTTTCCTCTCTCATCTTTCCCCACTTTGACTACAGCTGTGTGGTGTACGATGGCCTCTCGGTGGAACTGCGTGATAGACTCAAAAGACTTATGAATTGCTTCGTAAGATTTGTAATCGGATCCCCGAGACGCTCCCGTGTCTCCCACCACTACACTGAGTTAGGGTGGCTCTTCCCCTCCTTAAGAAGACAATATTTCCTTGGCACTTTCCTTTATCAAATCATTACCGATCATCGTCCTTCTTATGCCTACAACCTTCTCCAATTTAAGTCCTCAATCCATTCACTCACTACAAGATCCCGACCCTCTGACCTATACATCCCTTCTCATAGATCTGCCTCATTCCAAAATTCCTTTATAGCCCGCTCTGTCAACTTTTGGAATTCCCTCCCGATCAAAATTCGACATGCCCCTTCCCTGTACACATTCAAAAACCTCCTATTCCAATTCCTGTTCCAAAAACAGTCAGATACCAGTTAACGATTAATATTATATATGTATTGTGTAGCAATCATAACACTTGGTAAGAGATAGTACATGCCTTTCCTACTATCGACGTAGGAATTTCAATACATACATTTTTTTTTATTTTTTTTTTTTATTCAATTATAATTAACTGTTTATTTTCATATATATATTCAAGTAAAGTTTTTTTTTTTTTTTATGAAATGAACTCATTGTATCTCTTTTTCGTTCTTCATTTCTCAAAGTGTATGTTTATGTTGTTCAACCCTTAAATATAATTTTGTTCATAGTTCAAATGATTCGTTCATAGTTTTAATTGTTTTATTCATAATTTTAAATGCTCTGTACATAGTTGTATCTGTATTGTATATAGCTTGTGCACCTTAGGTTTTCTTTACTTTTTATTTTATTTTATCAATGTTATTTATTGTTTCAACGTTCAGGCCAGTAATATTCTATTATTTTGTACATTATTGTTATTCTGAAGGGACTTAGTCCCAGAATAAAGTTTTTTTTTCTATCTATCTTTTTCTATCTAATTACCTTTAACTTAATTTTATTATGTACATATTTTGTAACCATTATCTATTTATATGTATATCCTTTAATTTGTGAAGTCATATATTTTTTTTACTTATATCAGTATACTTTCTTTACTACTACTTACTATCATTTTATATATTGCTTGTTAATTTTTATATACTTTGTTTTATTTATTAATTATTTTAGTTTTTTTTTTAATTTGTTCTCAATTACATTCATTTATTTTTATTTCAAGTAACCCTCTGTTAACTTATTCTCACTCAAAATAAGACCTATTTAAGTATTGTAACAGATTTTATCACGATAATGACAATTGCTCACATTTACACATACTCTATTACCTTCTATCAGGGTTACATATGGTTTTTAATTTATAACAATTAATCACATGGCTATTATTTCTCAATCGATAATTGACATATTGTATGAGTGGACACAGCTCTAATGCTTATTGCCCTTGTGTGTGACAGATTGTGTTAATATTAAAAAAATAATAAAATACAGTTTATTAGTAATAACATTTTAAACATGAATGTGTTTTTACAAATGTTAGAATTTTATTTAATGTTGTCTCAATTTTCATTTCTTTTGTTTTTATTAAGTTTTCTTTTGTTAAAATTTTTCCATTGTTTTTGTTATTGTATATAGGATATGAATGAATATCATAGGTCTAATACTCTAAGCCTTTAGGTGAGGCAAAATACATTATTTATTAATAAAATAACATGTAGGTAGTGTAAAATTAATATTAATAAATATGTGGAATGGCACTAATTTTATTAAATCATTATTTAATTAAGTTTACTCTACCTACATATTATTAGACCATACATTTTACTTACATATTATTATCATTGCCTCTCATAATTATAGTGTTTCATAATTTATATGTTATCTTGTCTTTGCTTAGTCCTTATGAAGTCCTGAAACCCACTATTTCCTTTTTTTTTTTTTTTTTTAAACTGAACACCCCAACCAACTTCTCTTCGTTACAATGATTTTTGATAAATTATAAAAAATAACAAACTTATCACAGACTACACTAAATTATAATAGAACAATGTACCGCTAAATATAGTTTAACAGAAGTTATCTTCGCAACCTTCTTGATAATGGAATACATGGAATCATCATATGAGATTCAAAATACAAGGAAACAGTTCATCGATTCTTTTTCAATCAATAGATACTAGACAATCGAATGAATCGCGCAATTAGCTACACAAATGAATCTATTATGAGTTTTATAAATCATAATAGGTCGCACTGTATTGAACTATGGTTATAACAAATGAACTATTATGAGGTAATGTTAATATTTCATACGTAACTTGCTGTTACTTAACTTGAAGAGAAATTCTTTTATTATTTACATCACTGAGATCTTTTAGCACTTAAATTCTAGTCCATTTCACGAATAGCACACGATAAAAATTTTATAAATAAACTTTTATTAACAGCAAGTGTTACGAAGATAAAATTCTTGTAATGCCCTAATTCTACCATTTGAAGAGTCTTCCTTCATCACAGTAATGACTTTGAGAGTGTCTTGTACTCTTATATTTATTTTCTTTATAGAGTGTCTAAGTTCTTAGTGGATAAACTGTGGAAGGTGATTCTATGCAAAATCTCCATCAAAAATGTTCATCGAAAATTTCGAACTGAAAAGGAGTTTAGCCCAATTTTGTCTTTTCTTAAAATTTTTACGTTATCTCTTTCATAGGAAGCATTAATACAAAAATTATTTAATTCAGGTAATTCAAAATTTATTTATAGTAAACTTGACAAAGTTTCCTTCAAATTCAAGTAGAGTTTATCTTTATCAAAAAGGAACTATTGAGTGGCCAAATTATTTTATGTTATGTTTTTAATTAAATCATGGATTATTCGTTATGTTTTTTTATCATCGTATAACTATACTAAAAATACCCTTGTTTGTGCCAAAAATGGTTTGAATTTCCCACGTTACGGCGAGTGGTGGGGGCAGATCAGAGGATCTAAAAGATAACACTTGATCCTCAAGAACTGTTGAATTTCTCGGAGTCACTTCTCCATTAGCTATGGACACACCACCACCGGCACCTGAGGGCCCTAAGGTAATCATGAGATGTAAGCTGGCATAAAGACGGTAACCTATTTTTTGCGCAATCAGCATAACCAACCAATCCATTAAGATACAGTTCACTGCATATAATTAGAATGTTGCCCATAATTTTAAATGTTGCCTTACTGAAACTCATGAGAGTTGTTTGCCTTAATTAGAAAAGTTGTCTAAATTACCCCAATATAATAAAAACATTCTTGTTTAATAAATTTTGATTGCAAATCAATTTATTTCAAGTTTGTTTAAGAAAATATTTGTGATTCATCTCTAAATATACGTCAGGTCACAAGTAAAAGAAGAATGTTGAAATATTTATCAAGAATAAGAAAACTTTGTAATTATTTCACGGTTGTTATTTTCGCTGAAAATACAGATACTCTGGAGTGACAGAATAGTAAATGACATAAATTTTGGCACAAATAGACGTGAATCTCAACTGTATTCTAAAATAAACATCAAATAAATTAATATGCAATTAAATCTCAAGTTGTTTGGGCGCTCAAAAGTTCTTTTTATATGGTTTCGGAGGTTTACGTGAAAAAAAAAACATACAAGAAATAAGACATATTCCTAATTTGATAATTTTCAGATGACAAAAAAACATCGCGAATAATCCATGATTTGAAGAAAAACTCACTGTTAGCGAAGTTTGGCCTCTCAAAAATTCTCTTTAATTTTAATTTTGTATTTCTTACAATAAAGAAATTGTTAATTACCTGAATTTAATCATTTTTGTGTTATCGCTTCTTATGAAAGAGAAAACGTGACAGTTTTAAGAAAAGGCAAAATTGGACTTTTCTGGTCAAAATCTGTCCATATATCAAATGAAATTATTTTGTTGCAAACTTTGTATAGAATCACCTCCCAGAGTTTATCCATTAAGGATTGAGACAATCTGTATATTCAAAGGATTGTTGCGGGGATGAAATCAAATGGAAGAGTGCGCATAAAGGTGATTCTCTGCAAAGTGTGTCATTTTAAGTACTTCCTAAATATCTAAATGATAAAATAAAACTTGAATGCATCTTTTTAAGAAGAGTAACTGTTCCAACAAAAAAAATTGCAAGTTATAATTGTCTATTTCATCGATATTTGATAAAAGGTGAAAAAGACTTTCTCTTTCTCTTCTCATGAATAATTAGTTAAATATTAAAAAAAATATGGAGTAGTTCACAATAAAATAAGCAGAAATAAAAAGTATTATTATATATTATATCCTTCTGATATATACATATAAATTGCAAAATATTATTTATATATTATTAGCTCACACATTTTCTGTTTTCCTATCAATAATAGCTTGAAATGAAATTTTAACTTGTATTTTTAATCAGGTTCGGTACGACTCGAATCATTATTTATATTTTTTTTCGGTTATATTGGAACTAGACCTTTTCCCTTTTAAAAGCTCCTTAATATATTTTAGTTTTAAAACTAAAGGTAGTAATGTTGAATACATTACGAGTGATGTGAAGGAACCGCGATATATTTCATGGAACTCGTAACATGAGTGATATTTAAGGAATTAATTTTTGATATTTAATAATATTTATAAAGATAAAAAATAAGACTTTAAAATAAGAATATGTGCGAGCTATTGCAACTAGTGTAGATTTTGAGGTTAGTACGATACTGTAACTAGTAGTGATTTTTACCTTTTCTAATAGTAATTTATTTATTATAGAACATAGCCATTCACACAGTCACGAACACGATAGACGCCGTTCCAGTGGAAGCTGCTCCAAAGGTATTTGATAACTGTAGTATGTTTAGTATAAGTTCACTTTGGAATTAGTTTCAGTAAAGCATACTTTAAGTAAGGAATATAAAACAACCGTCAAAATCTGAGATGAAAAGTTATGTCGTATGAATATACATTGATACAATTAACTATTTTCTAAAGTGTAAAATTAAAAAATACTAAAGTCACGACATCAGCAGGGTAATAAAGTATGGCATTCAATTAAAAAAATGAACGATATCCACTTCACACGAAACAGACAACTTTTAATAGCTTTATTTGTTATCTTACACTTATAAAATTGTAATTTTATAAGAGAAGAAAATGGTGAGAAGCTATAGTATGTATTTAAAAAAAAATAGCTTTATCTTTAATTAATTATTTGTTTATAGTTTCGATATACCCCTAAGAGTTCTGAAGATATCTGTTATATTTGAAATGTTTTCGAGGCTGAAAATACGAAAAATAGTATTTTGAGTTCAGTATATACTATGAAATTTTTTATTTTTTAATCTTATAAAGCGTAACCATAACAGCAACGAAAAATAAAGCCAGACCATTCCGAGGACGATGTAAACGCAAGTAATATAAAACTCTCTTCACACGAAGCGGACTATAAGGCTTCTATGTGTTAGCATTTGTATTGTAAAACTGTAAGGAAATTATTCTTGCAGGTTTGAAAGGTAGGCAAATGGAGAGAAGCTGCTGTATCTAGTTCATCTCTTGTTTATAATTTTAATTTTAGAATATACAGCTTTAACAAAGATAAGCTATGTCTAAATCAAACTTCTGGAGAGTCTTAAAAGTTACAAAAAAAAAAGTGTTTTTTTTCTGGGAAGTTGTATGATATTCTTAGTTGTTTGGCAAGGATTACTTCCAATTAGCAACAATTGAATATATTTGTTGTATTATCAAAATTGCATGTTTACAAGTTTACATTTCGGGATATTTACTCTCATCTTCAGAACCACAATCCCAAAGATCTTGTGGATACAAGGCTTAAAACTAATGTGCTCCATCGCCAGTTTTTGGCAGACACCCAATAATAAGTCTAAAAGCATGATGTATGACCTAGATTTATTATAAAATGAATTAGAAACTGACGACGGTGCACATTAGTTTTAAGCCTTGTATCCACAGGATCATTGGGGTTGCGGTTCTGAAGATGAGAGTAAATATCCCGAAACGTAAACTTGTAAACATGCAATTTTGATAATACAACAAAAATATTCAATTTTTTTGCTAATTGGAGGTAATCATTGCCAAATAACTAAAAAAAGATTTCTTTTTCTCGAAAATATAATAAAAATGTGAGAAAAACATAACCCTGCCAGATATGAAAATTAGTACCCTAGGCCACGCAAGAGGTTATTCCGACACAACGGAACTATTTAATTCATATTTATTTATTAGGCAAAAATACATTTTGCCTCAATTAAGAGCATTAGTGTTTGTGATATAAGAGACTCATTCATAAAATACATACAATTAAAAAAAAATAAAAAGCATAAAAAAATAAAATAGAAAAAATAAAACAAAAGAAAAGAAAAGGAAAACTTAGTGGAGCAGAAGAAATAGAATATGAGAAAACATTAAATAAAATATAAAAAAACACATTCATACTTATTTACAATATATTTTTAAGTTAGCCGAGGGAGCTCCAAGTCGGGGTTTTTCTGGGGCCTCTTCCCCCCCCCCCCGTATGGAGGATAACCTAATAACTGAACTAAACAAATAATCTTTATGTACCTTAAAATAGCCAATTTAGATTTTTTTTTTTACCCTAAAAGTGTTTGAAAAAAAAGGTAGTCTATAGTTTCCGTAGCCCCAAGAATTCTAATGTTTTTTTGTTTTTTTTTGGAATAATTCTGAAGTTTAAAATAAAAAAATAGAGTACAGTTATGTTGAGAGCTCTGCTAGTCCCATACAAAGTTCTAACAATTGTTCATAGGAACCAAATCCATAAATTTGATGTACAAAAAAGTTATAGCGCTTCAAAGTAAAAAATGTCAACTTAGCTCTTCCCACGTACGTTTAAATCCTATTTTTAAACAACAAAAAAATATTACTAAAATAATGAAGAGAACTCTTAGAGACCTATCAGATTTTTTTTTTGTTTTTGTTTTATTGAGTATTAATACAGTGTGCCACACTAAGGGCATTGGTACTAGGGCTATAGTATCCATTCACACAATATGTACATAAGAAAGGAAAATAAATAAAAATAACGAAGTAAGAAGAGAAAGAAGAAAAAAAAATATAAATAAAGATATATAGAAATAAAAAGATAAAGTAATATACAAGATAAGTGAAACAACAGATTAAAGCCGAATGATAAAATAAATAAAATATTCACACCTATCAGAATTATGAAAGATTTTTTTTTTTTAATTTTGACTGTAGAGTAGCTGATTTACAAAGTTTTTTTATTATTTTTTTAACTTGCATTATATCACTATTGGAATTTCTTTAATGAGTATTTTCCTCGAGACTATTTTTATCGATTTTTATTTTTCTTATGTGTGGTACTTTGTCATTTATTGATCATGATCCAGTTCAGTTTCATAAATACTAGCAAAGAAAGTTAATATGGAAATTTGAATAAATTTATTAAAATTTGTTGATGAATTGAAGTAAAGTTAAAGGAGGAAAAAAAAAACAAAAACGATTCGTATAAACGTCAAATTTTAATGTTTTATTTTAATAATTAATTTTAAACTCATTAAAAGCATCCGATATAACATGCTTCAGATTATTTTTTACTTACAATTGCTCATATATGCAATGTATCGTAAGGGCAAATGTATGCAAATGTAAAGTATTACATTTGTGAAAACAATTGAAGCTAAGTTTTTAGCAGAAATAGTGTACATGTTTTTTTGTACAGCAAACTCAGAGTATCCTTTAAATACGTAATTTTAGTTTCTTATGACTTTGCGTTTTTGAGATGGCCTGTTCAACACACACAAATATATATTAAATATTAATATATATTCTGTATTTGTGACTTGTTCTAAAGGGACACTAGTCCCTGAAAAATAAAATTATTTTCATTCATTCATTCAAATACTAACAGGCTGTTTTGCGAAATTTGTTTATTTGGATTCAGCACCTTAAGACGTATATTTCCGTTTAACAAGCTGAGATCCAAAAATGTTTACAATATATATATATATATATATATATATATATATATATATATATTATATATATATATATATATATATATATATATATATATATATTTATTACATAGTAAAGTAAAAGGGAAAAATAAACTAATTGAATTCGATATGTTTCATAGTATATTTTAATATTAATAAATTGTTTTCATAGAGGAACGAGGAAAAGGACATCGGTCCGAAACAGTGATAGCACGGAGTCATCACCATCATCCATTTGGAATCATCCATCATATTTTGGGACATCACCATCATATTTTGCCATAATCATTAGTTCTCACATCATAGATGAACACAGGAAGCTCACAATTTAATATGTATATTCTTATAAATTGTATGAACCATCTATAAATATATACCTAAGAGGAAAATTGTAATTAAACTGTTTGTTTTTTTGAATTTTGGAAAATTGTATTAAAAGTTTATGGAAAATTATATACCTGAGTCGAATAAAATTATCCATACAAGCAAAACTACAATATAATGATTTCATTTATTCATTATTATTGATGTACGATTTAACATTATTAAGCAAATTAATAAAATAAATAAACAAAACATTATACTTTTTTTTTTATTGAATAATAAATGGTACAATCTGCCACAATGATAGGCAATGATAAGGCTAAACCTGTTAATTCATACCATATGTGCATATAATAGGGAACCAAATAAGAATAATTAAAAAGATAAATACTTTTTTTTTAAATAAGAAGAAAAAATAAATAAGAAAACAAAAGAAAATATGAAAAAAATAGAATAACATACGTAAGTGAAACAAAAAATAAATCAAAAGGTAAAAACAAATTAAATCTTCTTAACACATTCATTCCTATGTACAATTTTTACATACGCCCAGAAAACTCGGAAGCCAAGCTTTGTTCTCTAAAAGTGAAAGGCAAAGCAGGAGTCCAGGAGATCATAGTGCCTCTCTTCCAGCCGCGTCAATGGTAAGGCAGTGGATACTGAAGGAAAGGTACTAGAGCCACAGACGCTCAGGACTTGAGAGGAGAAGCTGGCTATTGCGAGGACTCCAAAAGTATATTTACAAGAGATCTCGGGTTCACTGCCGTTTTAACCTTCGGGTAGGAGAATGATCGGAGCTGAATAGGGATTGAGCTAGAGGATTGGGATGATGAATAAGGTTCTAGTGGAAGTTGGAAATCTGGATAAGGTCTTGTCTGTGACATATTATGGAGGACTGGCTATAGTTCTAAGTACTTTGGACAGGAAGGATTGGATATGTTTGATATACGAATATTTAGCTGTTCCCCACAGTTTATTTTCAGTCGAAAGATGAGATTTTCTGCTTAGGAGTCTATACATCTGGCCAAATCGTCGGTTAGGTTCTTGTCTTTTAAGTATAGTATGTGGGTTCCAGGTTAGTCTTTTATCTAGAAGGAACCCAAGGTAGCGAACTGTATCTGAGTGGAGAAGCGGTATTGAATTAAGGATTGGCGGACAGGATCTGCGTCGCAGGATGAAAGTGATATGTTTGCATTTTGATTCATTGATTTCGATGTTCCAGTTGTTACACCACTGTTCTATCGAGGAGAGGTGAGATTGTAGGTTAACGGATGATATTTGAGCAAATTTAGCTAGGAGTGTATCAGGATTTGAAGTGATATCGGCGGTGAAGAGGATATAGTGAACTAGAACCAAGACACTGCCTTGTAGAACACCAGCCTCAACTGGATAATAAATTTATTAGCAAATAAAAACCTAATAGTTCACAAAAAAAAAATCCTGTTTTGTTTACACAATGAAATTAAATAAATGTATCATCATACTGAAAAATTAATAATAATATTTAAGAATAATTCCTAACAAAGTATATGTAATTCAAAACAAAGCCTCTTAAAAGTTTTTGATAACACGGATTTTATGAACCAACCAATGCGTGAATATAGATGAAACAGAAATGCTTTTAGGTTACAAGTAGGACCCCAAGTAAAAAATCCGTCAAGAAATAATTATTTTTTATTCGAGTTTTCGTTGAGGTCGAAGAACTGATTCATCTCATCAAAATGAAACTGGAGAGTTATTAAAACACACTAGAAGGTTATTCAGAAGGAATGATCAGTTTTATTTCTTTTTTTTTCTTTTTTGTCTTTAAAATTAACATGTTTGAAACTTATCGGAGGAATATGATGCACCGCCAATGAGTAAACAAGTATTTTTCAGTTTAAAAATTAGGAATGTAAAAAAAACCAATCCTCATACTATTAAAAAATATTTATCAAGTGTCAACGTTGTTATTTCAATTTATATATTTTATTATTAAACTTATATTTAGTGTTATATAATTATTTAATATTATAGCAGTTATCTATACATATTAGTTGTTATTAAAAATTAAATTATAATGTTAAAATAAAAAAAATGATTGAAACTTTACCACCTTTTTTATTTTGAATTATTACATTCTTTCGCAATTAAGGACAATATTGGTGAAAATACAATAAATAACACTAACGAAACAAAGGTGAAAAAAATAAGGTTACAGTTAAATAAAGCAATTGAACCATCATAAATTCATAGTTATTTCTGTAAACTTATAAGACGACTTGGAAAAGTCTTAACCAAGTCAGTTTCTATTCTCGATTTCAAGATTATAAAGCAGGACACCAGAAGATCCCAGGGCTTCATACTCAACCGTAATGAAACTGAAAGTCAGGACAGTATTATATTTTATATTTAATAAATTGTGCTCTCTTAATATAACGAATGTGATTAAGATTTTAGGACAATTAACAAGATTTTGAAATAATGTAGAGATTTGACACATGCCTGAGACCCATAGCATGTAATCTAACAATAATATATACTTATTCAATAAATATGTTAGAATTATCAATACTAATAACATTACTTTAAAAACATATATATTTTTTAAAATATTTTTTTTTAATTTTAATTATTATGCCCTAGCTATCATATACTCAAAAAACATAAAATGAACTATTTATTGGTCTAGTTTTACTATGTTACTTTTATTTAAAGTAAAATAATAATAATAAATTATTCAAAAATTAATTCAAATAAAAATAAGATAACAAAGAATAAATTGTATACATAAAAAAAATGGCATATTGATTGGTTGACTTGCAGTGCTATCCATAGTAAAAGCTGGTGTATTGTAAGTTATATTTTACTAAAAGTTTACTGAGAAAGGCCACGAAATTTCGTTCAATCATCTGCAATGCCACAATTATAAGATCGTTTCGAGAACCTAACCTACAAGTATACAAGTTCATAAGACCGATTCGCACTTCATTATCTTTTCTGAAACTATCGAATGAGATTAATGTTTATTTTACCGGAAATCGTAAACACACAATTTTTTAACTCCGCCATAGCCCGGTCCCAAGCCCGGGTTGAGAAAGGAGGAGGGTTGAGGTAGAGGAGCTGATTCCCGCCACGTAAAAAAATATATTAATGCAACTTATATATAACTCTTTATTACATAAATATATAAAATGCTAAGCTTGAAATCTTGTTCCACTCACAATCTTATTTATTATTAAAAAAAAAAACGAAATTTAATCTTATATTATCATCGTTCCTATAAAGTACACAACAATATTTCATACGTATTTTTTGTTTATTGTACCTAATATATAACCAAGTAATTAAATGTATAAATATTTACTTTAACATTTCCAAGTATAATTGTTAATGTTTCCATGATACTAACAATTCATTATTACACATAAAATAAAAAAGTAATTTCTCCGAAGATTACTATTTCAATTTTAAGATATCGTATGATTAAGATGAATTGGCATTCAGTCCCTTAGCTATACGGCAAATGAATATCTAAATGCAAACGCCCTAAAGAGATAATGAAATATGATTGAAAAGACAATAAACAACAAAAACCTTCAACGTTCGAATGCATAATATTCCGAATTCATGAATGCAAACAAGACACACGAGGTATGACGGTGACCTTGTTAAAGCCTATGACTTCACAATAATACAAATGAATATCTAAATCCAAACGACCTAAAGAGATAATGAAATATGATTGAAAAGACAATAAACAACAAAAACATAATCGAATATCACAATAGCACAATATTCGAATGCACAATATTCCGAATTCATTAATGCAAACAAGACACTCGAGGTATAACGGTGACCTTGTTAAAGCCTATGACTTCACAATAATACAAATGAATATCTAAATGCAAACGACCTAAAGAGATAATGAAATATGATTGAAAAGACAATAAAAGGCACAAACCTTTAACGTTCGAATGCACAATATTCCAAATTCATGAATGCAAACAAGACACACGAGGTATGACAGTGACCTTGTTAAAGCCTATGACTTCACAATAATACAAATGAATATCTAAATGCAAACGACCTTAAAAGATAATGAAATATGATTGAAAAGACAATAAACAACACAAACCTTCAACGTTCGAATGCACAATATTCCGAATTCATGAATGCAAACAAGACACACGAGGTATGACGGTGACCATGTTAAAGCCTATGACTTCACAATAATACAAATGAATATCTAAATGCAAACGACCTAAAGAAATAATGAAATATGATTGAAAAAAACAATAAACAACACAAACATTCAACGTTCGAATGCACAATATTCCGAAATCATGAATCCAAACAAGACACACGAGGTATGACGGTGACCATGTTAAAGCCTATGACTTCATTATAATACAAATGAATATCTGAATGCAAACGCCCTAAAGAGATAATGAAATATAATTGAAAAGACAATAAACAACACAAACATTCAACGTTCGAATGCACAATATTCCGAAATCATGAATCCAAACAAGACACACGAGGTATGACAGTGACCATGTTAAAGAGTACGACTTCACAATAATACAAATGAATATCTAAATGCAAACGACCTAAAGAGATAATGAAATATGATTGAAAAGACAATAAACAACACATACCTTCAACGTTCGAATGCACAATATTCCGAAATCATGAATCCAAACAAGACAAACCAGGTATGACAGTGACCATGTTAAAGCCTATGACTTCACAATAATACAAATGAATATCTAAATGCAAACGACCAAAAGAGATAATGAAATATGATTGAAAAGACAATAAACAACACAAACCTTCTACGTTCGAATGCACAATATTCCGAAATCATAAATCCAAAAAAGACACACGAGGTATGAAGGTGTCATTACGATAAAGATACATTCTTCCAACATAGATCACACACATTACTGCTCCTATCGAAAAACAGTCAACCAGACTCAGGAGTGTAAAAACTTGCTTTTACTAAAGCCCACTCTTTCAAAAACAGCAATGCTCAATCCATTAAGGCGCAATTTCTTCAAATCCGTTTCTGAACCTGTTACCACCTGTTTAAAATAAATTATATTTCTTACGATTTTCGTAGAAGAGTGGCAGTATGCCAAACTGCGACTCTTCTCTTATATCTCAAATGGTGGTTTCGTGCAAATGATTATTTAGAAATGCCAAGGAATTTCTTTCAATCATCTGCAACGCCATGATTCAGATCGTT